TTCACATGTGTTTAAACAAACAAATTCCCAGCTGGGTCAGTTGGGATTTCTGTGTGGAGTTTGCATGTTCTCCCCGTGTTGGCGTGGGTTTCCTCTGGGTGCTCCGGTTTCCCCCACAGTCCAAACACATGCGCTATAGGGGAATTGTAAAAAAAAAAAACTGTAAAGCATAATAGTTTGTGGATTTCTGACCAATTTCAGGCAGTGCATACATGTGTGTGTGTGTGTGTGTTTGTTGCTGACACTGTTTATACTTGAGTAATTATGTACTCCATTGTAAGATCCAGATATAGATTATACTGAGTTGCGTTGTCGCTCATTTGCTTCTGTTAATGTGAGATCCTGTAAAATAGAGTGAACACAGATGCAGAGTCAGCAGATCTCAGTGGCATTTTTTCTTCTGACACATTTTTGTTTTTTAACAAGTCTGCTGTGCAAAATTAAATTAAATAAAAAATAAAATAAACGTTTTCTAAAAAAAATAATAATAAATGAATAAATAATAAAAAATATTTAAATTAAATAAAATGAAAATATAAAGTAAACTTTTCTGGAAAAATCCCCCCCAAAAATAAGAAGAAATTAAAAAATGAAAAAACAAAATAAACTTTTACTAATAAAAAAATCTAATAAAATAATAAATAATAAAAAATATTTAAATGAAATAAAATAAAAATATAAAGTTAACTTTTTCTGGAACCAGCCCCTCTCCCCCCACCCCCAAAAATAAAAAGAAATTAAAAAATGAAAAAGAAAATAACCTTTTTCTAAAAAATAAAATAAAATAAATCAATAAATAATGATTAAATAAAGTAAAATGATCAAATTAAAATTAACTTTTTTAGGAAAAAAAACAAAAATAATGAGAAATAATAAAATAAAATAAAAGAAACTTTTTCTGTAAAAATAAAAAATGAGAAAAAAAACTTTTTCTGCAGAAAGATAAAAACAAAAATAATGAGAAATAATAAAATAGAAAAATAAAATAAACTTTTTCTGCAAAAAAAAATAATAATAAATATTAAGAAAATGAAAAAATAAAATAAACTTTTTCTCAAACAATAAAATAACAAAAATAATAAAATTAAATAAAATTTAAAAATAAAATAAACCTTTTAAAAAAACAAAAATAATAAAAATTAATTAAATGAAATGATAAAATAAACCTTTTCTTTAAAAACCAAAATAATAAAAAAATAATACAAATTAATTAAATGAAATAATAAAATATAATTTTTCTTAAAAACCAAAAAGAATAAAAGTAAAAAGTGAATAAACTTAAAAAAAAAACACAAAGCTGAACAAATATCTGTTAATATTCGTTAAAAGATTCAAATCACTTCGTCAGTTCGTCTTTTTAATACATTTTTCACAGTTTTCACAAACAAATCCTTTACAATATCCACAGATTTCTTTTGGGGAAAAATGCACAAATAAAATAATTTTAGAAAGAATCAAATAAAAAATAAAAATAATAAAAGCTAAATTATTTTTTAAATAATAACAAAATACAAGGAAATACATGATGAGTCCAAAAAGAGTTTCCTTTAAGGTGAAAACGCTGATTAAAAACATTTTTCTTTACTAAAGTTTGTTTGTTTCTCTGAGACAGCAGGAAAGCTGTGTAAACATTCCTGTTTTGCTCTTTGTCTAATGACTGACGTGCATAAATAAACACGTGTGGGTGCGTGTGTATGTGTGTGTGTGTGTGTCTTTGTGTGTACACAATACACATGCAGGTGTGTCTATTTAAATGCTTCAGCAAAATTATAAATAAATTCGTCAGCATGAAAAACATTGATCATCTCTGAGGTGTGAGTCAGATAAGATCAGTAAACAGCACCGCTGGATCACACACACACACACACACACACATCATCTGCAGACTGTATAAACTACTGTTCACATACTCCATAAAAAAGAGTTTTTTGCATTCATTTGATTAAAATTACGGCGGCATTGTGGCTCAGTGGTCAGCACTGTGGCCTCACAGCAAGAAGGTCACTGGTTCGAGTCCCGGCTGGGTCAGTTGGTGTTTCTATGTGGAGTTTGCATGTTCTCCCCATGTTGGCATGAGTTTCCTCCAGGTGCTCCGGTTTCCCCCACAGTCCAAACACATGCGCTATAGGGGAATTAAATTGGCCGTAGTGTATGAGTGTGTGTGTGAATGAGTGTGTATGGGTGTTTTCCCAGTACTGGGTTGTGGCTGGAAGGGCATCTGCCGCATGAAACATATTCCGGATAAGTTGGCGGTTCATTCCGCTGTGGCGACCCCTGATAAATAAGGGATTAAGCCGAAGAAGCAAGAATGAGTTTGAGGATGGGAGGAGGGTCTGCTGATGCCTTTATGAGCATCTGAGATCTTCTGAAAAACTGCTGCAGGTCTCAGATCAGCTTCTCCATTCAGAGAAGTCACCGATCAGCATTCTTGTGAATCTTCACACAGTGTGACAGAAACAAACACAACACATGACAGACACACACATACATACACACACATCTGATCTGAGACTCGAGATTCAGCAGCATGTCAACATCACTATACACACATTTAATAATTGAATTTAATTTAATCAATTTAATCACATTAATAATTTAATTTAATGTATAAATGAGAAATATTTTTTTATTTATTGTGTTTATATTTTCACAAAACATGTTTAGTGTTTATACATAAATTTTTTTTATTATTTATTATTGCTACTATTATTCTTTTATTATAAAACTGATTGATTATTGATATCACTCATGTTGTGATTATTTATGGTGTTATTTAAATATGCAATTAAATGCACTGAGTGATGCATTAAAAATAATAATTCTGTATAAAATAGTTTTACAGTTTTCTTATTTGCTCATTCTTGTTATTAGAATAAGGATTTAGTTTTTAATTAAGTAAAATTAAACTATTATAGTGTCATTTCAGTTTAATAATAAATGTAAAAATATTCATTCTCATGAAAAAAAATGCCTTAATGATCAGAAGGTAGAAAATATGGTAATGGATGATATTTTATTCCACTTTTT